ATTCCTCTGTGCTTCAGCACTCCACAGTATTTGTCTGTGCTCTGTGATCAGACATACTCATTTTAAAAGTTGCTGTTTCAGTTTTAACTGCTAGACAGGGAGCCCGTGCTTCAGTCTTGCACATTCAGTCTTGCTCATCCCGTTCTGACCTGTCCTGACTGATCTTTCTGACAAGGAAACATACTGGCTGAGAGCAGCTGATCATTTCTCTTCTTTAGACTCAGACTGGCCCTTAGGTGACCAGTCCTGTCCAGGACACACAGGCTGGCCAATAGCTGACCAGTCCCTATCCAGGACTAACAGACTAGCCAGTAGCAGACCAGTTTCTCTCCAGGTGACATGGAGTGGCTGATAGCTGAGGAGTTGCTCTAGTGGGGAGATGGTCTCACCCATAGCTGACCAGTCCCTCTTGTAGGGAAACGGACTGACCGATAGCCTACCAGGTGCTCTACAGGAGACATGGAGAGGTCGATAGCTGACCAACCCCTCTCCAGGTGACACAGACTGGCTGATAGTTGGCCAGCGGTTCTGCTGGGGAGATAGACTGACGCTGAGCTGACTAGTCCCCGTGACGAAGACATGGACTGACCTGTGGTTCCACCAGGGGACATTGAGTGCCCAATAGCACTCCTAGCATGATCCCCAGTATTTATTCACACGTGAAAGTGGGAAGAAAGGGACTTCACACCCAGAGTGTTGCACTTTTAGATGAGTCTGAAGCCTGCTGTCACCGCAGGCATGTCTGTGCCCAGGGGGCGCCGTCGAGCTGGCGGTGAGGCGCACTGTTAGAGGAGGAGTGGGCCAGCGCAGTGCAGCGCTAATGAGAACTGGAGTCAGAGACACACTGCTGGACAACAAACAGCTCTCCCTGCTGTATTCAATAAATTCTGCATTCCTGCACAGACTCTCTCTCTCTCACACACACACACACCTACACTCACAGATTCACACACACACTGACTCACACACCTACACACAAAGATTCACACACACAATGACTCACACACACACCTACACACACACTGGCTCACACACACACCTACAGTACACACTCACACACACACCTACACTCACAGATTCACACACACTGACTCGCTCACACACCCACACTCACAGATTCACACCTACACACACACTGACTCACACACACCTACACACACACTGACTCACACACACCTACACACACACTGACTCACACACAAACCTACACTCACAGATTCACACACACCTACACTGACTCACACACACATGTACACACACACTGACTCACACACATACCTACACTCACAGATTCACACACACACTGACTCACACACACACCTACAATCACAGATTCATGCACACACCTACACACACACTGACTCACACACACCTGCACACACAGATTCACACACATGTATACACACACTGATTCACACAGACACCTACACTCACACACAGATTCACACACGCTGATTCACACAGATTTACACACACTGATTCACACAGATTTACACACGCACTGATTCACACAGAGTTACACACACTGATTCACACAGCTTTACACACACTAATTCACACAAATGCACTAATTCACATAAACACACAGATTCACACTCACACATTCATATAAAGACTGATTCACATTCAGAGATGCACGTACTGATTAACACACAGACTCACACTCACACACTGATTTTCACAAGATCATGCACAATGACACATTCTCACACATGCTGACTCTCACAAAACAGAACGTCAGACACACAGCCAGACACCCACAGGCAATCAGACAGTCAGACAGACACAATCAGAC